AAAAAAAATTTTTTAGCAGCCGGCTGGAAAAAATTTTCTCACCAAAAAGGTGGGAAAATTTTTTCCTCAAAAACATGGAAAATGCTGACGTGGCGGGTTGGGGAGGAAAATATTTTCCGTGGAAAATTTAGGCTATCAAACAGCGCAAAAGATGGAAAATGGAAAAAATCCATGGAAAATGTGGCTAATCAAACAGAGCCTTATATCAAAAGACAAACTTAGGATTTCTGGAGCTCGAAAAGAAATGCCAAACAAACTCCCCAGTTTCTTCAGGTAGTGCTACTCCATGGTGCGCTAGAGAGAAAAGCGCACTTGCGGAAACTTATCATCCAAGGCTTTCTTCAGCAACTAAGAGTGTGTTTGATTGACATGGAAAATATATCCTGAAAAATAAAATATTTTCCTTGTTTTGAGGAAAACAAAAACCTACTCCCCTTCAAAGCAAATGTTTTCCTTAAAAACAAGGAAAATTAGACACATTTTTACAAGTTGAAAAATATTTTTCATGAAAAATATAATAATCAAACACTTTAAAGTAAGAATTTAGGTGAAAAATTGACATTTTCTATAGAAAATAATGCATCAAACACACCCCGAGTGACAGTGTAATAGATCTAATGAGTTGAGGCACGTAAAATGCAAAAAGGAGTAGAAAGAAACCAGTAGTGGCATCTGGTAGCATGGGTGGACCTTGGGGGGGGGGATTGAAATCTAAATTTTGATCTAAATCAAAGTTAACAATTAATTTTAATAACATATTTCATGGAATCCATAACTGTTTAATTTTTATCAAAATTTACTAAAAATTTGATTTTAATCTCCACCAAATAGGGGCAAAATCAAAATAAATTTGAATTTCGAAATATACTAATTTTAAAAATTCTCCGACGATCATACGCTAATCGAANAATCCATAACTGTTTAATTTTTATCAAAATTTACTAAAAATTTTATTTTAATCTCCACCAAATATGAGCAAAATCAAAATAAATTTGAATTTCGATAATATTCTAATTTTAAAAATTCTTCGACGATCGTACACTAATCGAATATACAAATTGCTTATGTCATTTCAACACTTATTTTGAGAACTATATTATGGGCATATCGAATAGTCCAAACAGATATCGAAAATAGTTAAAAATACGTTAAACGTGAGTCTTAAAAAAGACATCTAACTCACATTTTTTTTAATTCAATTATTTCATTAACATTTATTATTTTTGAGATACAAATTTCTCAATATAATTTTCATCATTTTAATAGGAAATTTTATATGGAATATGACATCAAAAATTTTCGAAATTTTACATCCGAAAAAGTCATATCCCATGTAAATTTTTGAATGTAAAATTATATAGGGTATGATTTTTTTGGACGTAAATTTTTTATTGTAAAATTTCTCCAAACTTCTTTACAAGTTCGATTGTGTCCCCTAACTTATAAGGTCTGCGTCCGCTCCTGTCGCCACCCACTGCCTCCAATGTGGCTCCACCACTTAGCGTGATGAAACCAAACAGATTGAATA